TAGGCCCATCAGCCTGGGGCAGGTAAAGAGAAACGAGCGCCAGTTCTGGAGAGAGGTCATAGGGCACCAGGTCGTGCGCCCAAGGCAGATAAAGAGCACATGTGAGACCGTTGTGGCTGTCAGAAAGACATTCGCAGAATACAGAAGCAACGGAATCTCCACGACCCTGTTCAACAGCTGGCTCGCGTCCTCCAGGGAGTGCAACAGTTGAGCCACTAGGCGCACCCGCCTCCGTGCCACGGTTCTGTCTTGGAACCGTGCTACTATCGGCATATCGGCAGCACTCTCTAGCAAAGTGTTGGCGTCACAGAAGAGTAGCCGCATGTTCATTGTTATTCCCGTAAATGAAATGAGTATTAATGAATGCCTTATTTCGTTTAAAAATTCGACGGCGTGAATACAAATATAGCCCCAGTGCCCGAATTCGATTACTCCAAGAAACATATTTAAAAATATAATACCATCTATTAGCATTGCTACCGTTATTAGTTTAGAGAATGGGAAAGTGCGGTTAAAGCACATGCCGTAATGTGGCACATTCACTGCTAGTATATATTCCAGTGCTTTCTTCAATGAAGCATTCCGAGATATTACTAGCGTAGCGAAAACACATCTAAATATGACTTGCGCGATGAAATAAAAGTGATGCTGAATGAGCATTACGAGGTTATTTCTTACAACCTTGATGTCATGAACACTTATGATAGAGAAATACGTTTCCAAAATCCATAGAGCAAACTGAAGCGCAACCGAATAGATAAATGATGCTCGGCAGATGAATAAGCGCGGTACGGGAAATAATTCCTTCCAAAAGAAGGGAGCTACACCTACAATCTTCATCATCATAACCAGAAGGTGCAGAGAGTGCCCCACGCAAGAACGTCTCCCTACTGTCATGACACCTTCAAGCCAGTGAACTCACTGCACGTTGCAGAAACCGACTCGAAATTCATAACTTTTTGCTCTGGAAAGCTCTACGTATTTTACTAGTGGTTTAAGTTGTTAGATAAAAGTTAGGCCACAATCAAACGCGTTTGAATACAAACAAAAATTTTGGGGTAAAGTCCAGACAGCTCCCGTCACATTATTTTATAAATAATTAATTTTAACTTCGAAATTGTTTCCTATGTGTTTCAAGATTATCATAAATTCCTTCCCGTTAGAAATGTCTTAAATGGTTGTTGTTGAAGCATTTCATATTTATCGAGATCTTTCAAAGAATTTGTAATTGCTAGATTTCCAGCAATTTTCATATTTCGTGGTAAGTTTTGAACTCCTTGTTCCGTTAATTGCTTAAGGAAATGTTTGTTTCAGCTTATCAATAGTGCAACTGTCAAATGAAGTAAACGATTACAATGGTTTTTACATCTTTACACAAAATTCGCTAAGGAAAGGTTAAGTATTGTTTTACAATTTATAAGAAACGTCAACACAAAACACCGCAACTGTACCACTGTCGGATAGGAAATTAACCCTTTGTCCTGCATCAAGGAGATTTGATATAAGAAACAATCAAACAGAAATTCGTAGATTATGGCATTTTGGTATATCAGTCGCGCATGTAACCCGCAACAGTCATTACGCAACAACACACTTTTACCATCGTCTGTAACTCTTGAACGATTCGCGCAAGTCTTAAAACTATGCTTTAGGATCCCTACGAGAACACGAATGCCATAATCTAATGAAGAAACATTTATGACGATGAGACATTTATCACGATGACTTTTAGGAGATCACGTGAAAATCGTAGCTGTGCCATTTTATATGTGTATTCTGTCTTGTTAGAAGAATTTTAAGGAAAAATTTGGAGCCGTTTTGAGAAGATTTTGAAAATGTCCGGGGGGCTTTATGTAAAGTACCCCCAAATTTAAAGAACGTTTTGTCATATTTCAGAGCTTCGATAATAATAACGAGATTTTACTGTTTTTTAATAATCTTAAAATAATATTTCCGCTCTTTAATTAGAAAACTGAAAAATTAAGAAAATGTCAAAAAATGTACTTTGGGCGGCAATATATGACAACAGGCAAGAATATGTGGCAAGTTCGAATGGCTAACCGAGACCAAAGGAAATAGAATACTAATACGGGAAAGTCTATGCCATTCTGTAGCACCACAAGTTAAAACTGGCATAGAAAGCGGGGAATGTTCGCACGGATTCAACTAGCTTTTCTAATGTTTATATCACGCTGTTTATTTCATGTTACTTTTTCGACCTTATTTCGTAAGAAGTGAAAATGTATTAATGCGAAGGAAAACGAAACATTTTCAACATAAAATCTCTTATTGCCGGGGCCTGGTAATGAAAAATTAGATAAATCTTGTTCCTATACCTATATAGTATATTACTTCCTCTAACAAGTAGTGTGGTCAGAATTCATGTTTTGTTGGTCCTTGATACAGAAAAATTGACTGACGTCAAACGTGTGTCTGTTCGTCCGCCCGTCCTTCCGTCTGTGGTCAAGCAAGCCCCAAACGCGATAAGCAGGTTTTCTCCAAAATCGATTTTCCTCGATCGAATTAGAGGAACTCGGGGTCCTGTGAGTTTTAAATGGATACTTTTGATTGAGTACTTTACGTAAAGCCTCGATTACTTTTTCAATATTGTATAAAAAATGACTCCAAAAATTTTGACCAACTTTGTTAGAGTAAACGATGCTAAAAAGGCACATATGAAATACCTGATTTTTCAAAAATGGATTAGTTTCTGCGTATTTTTTGTGAAAGAGAGACAATTTTTAAACAATTATTTTGTAAAAAAGGCTCCAATTTTTTTCATTAAATTTTGTCCTCGTAGGTAAAGGACGGTAAAGAACATGATACTGTTCACATTTCCGTCGAACTCTGTTTAGGAAAATTGCAAAACGTTAGCATTTCAAACCTAAATTTCTTTAGTAGAGATTTTGTCTTAACTTCTGTTTTAAAAAAAGTAGATCTTTAAAAAAGGTCAAGTTCAGTTATTTAAAAACTAGCAAATTTTTGCTAAATTTTTGCTTCAAATTAATGCAAATTATTTTTAAAAATCTCAAAACCCTTTTTTTTCTGTAATGGGACAAGGGAGGGTTAATAAAAGAATTGAACAAGTCTCATTTTCGTTGAACACTAAATTTTCAAAAATTGTAAATGCGAGAAAGTATATGCTGTTGAACAGCACACCTAGTTTTTTCTCCGCTCTCCGAACACCAGGTTCCTCGCAGCCAGTCAATGGTGGTCGCAATATCGCCTCTAAAAAAGCGGAGGCATCCCTCGCAGTCTCTCCCGGTTTCGCCCCTTTACTTTTGCCTCTATATTTTACCCTGAAGCTTGGTTATTGCCGCGAGGGAATCTATATGGGAGCAACACGTCGGAGAAATGACCTTCAGGGGAAACGGAATGAGGAAGCGAGAGTGGAAGGAAATGGGAGGAGGCTGAGGTGTATGACGGGGAAGAAGGTGGCGTTATTGAGATTGATTAATCGTGGCTTTCCTTAATCTCGCTCATGAAGGCCCAGGGGCCCATTTTACGAGAAGACAGATTTAAACCAATTACTGAATGCTTCTGCGCGATAGTTACACAGCTCTTTCCTTAGAGCGACACATAATAGAGGATAATTCTCAAACGTGAAAGATGCCGTGGCTTTTAAAAGGCTTCCGGTCTTTAAAGCTCGGCACAAAGGTTTCCTTTCAAGCCCGACTGCGCGAAGTAGCAGGTGGGAAGAAGGGGTGCGGAGAACATGGCCGTTGTGTTCGCGGGGATCTTAAGATCAGGAAGAACATTGATTACATAAGATTGCTCGGGGGAAACCTCTAGAACAATGTTAGAAACTACCTCGCTTCTTGGCGAGCTTGTGCGAACTTTGTTCTAGAGTGAGCTGAGTACGTTCACTTGCACTTCGCCAGTCAGTATGCAGACTAATCTGCGCTTTGGACTGGTCTGCCATCCGCAGGTTTATAGTCTGCAACTAGCATTTCCTCACAGCCACTAATGACGGCGACAACTTCCGCATGGTTTGTGCATCCTCGTCCCATTAGAACAAACTAAATTTATTTGAAAATACAAATAACGTAATATTTATATCACTATAATTAATAATAAAATATTACATATCAATTGAATTAGCCGCTGGTCTGCTAAGCGAAACCGTATATATGCAAGACGGCATTTTCTCTGGCGGGAGCTAACACCAGTGGTGTATCCGGAGAGGTACGGGAGTCATAATCCCTTAACGACTTATTGTTTAAATTTTACTCCATGTATTCAAAATATCTACTATATGGAGATATCATCACATCCATAGCAATATTCCCATTGTGAATATACTAGAACATTTTTTATTTCATGCTATTTTTTCTTAAAAAATATTTAAAGGCTTGAACTGAAAATGACTCCTCCCACCCACACCCTCCTTGAAATACTTTCTAGATCCACCACTGGCTTACACACGTTGACAACATTCACTTTGGCTATTCTTGTTTAGTCACAGTAGTGGTAGACTATTATTTTCTATAAAAAATGACATTAAATTTTAATTGACAAATATTTAAATCAATTACATCTCTCCAGCAAACAGACATTACCCAACAACAGAGGTGCAAGACTTTTTTTAATGTAACATTTATGTTATTCACTTCCAATGCTCACAGAAATTGAATCATATCAGAAATCCGTCAAACGCCAAATTCCTCGTTTCAAGAAAACTAGAGTAAGTCTCCCAATTTTTCAGATTTTAAAATATTTTTTTGTAGTAAAGGAGTTGATAAATTAATGATTCATAAGAATAATCATTAAAAATAGGATCAAAAGTTTGTATAGAGTAAAAATTTATGTTTATTGCAAGTTTTAATTTTGGGGTGTTACTGAATTTATTCACTAGAATTTCAACTTGAAATGTTCATAAAATAACAAGTCAGAGCAAATGACTTACCAATTGAAAATCCATTTTTAATTCTTCTTGCCTTCTTCACTACAGTGTAAAACAAGGACAAGGAAAGAAATGAAAAGAAATAAAACCACTTGAGTGTAATCAAAATAACTTGTATTTTGACTATACAAAATAGAAGACTGACTAGTAACATAAATATAGAACAAATGGTAACATATACTATGTATTGTTTTGATATACATATCCGAGTTGTACCTAATTTACATTTAGAAGAAAAAATAGTATTTAATGTCCATTATTATCACACATGGAAATTAAAGGGAACTGGTTCACTCTATGAAACCAACAAAAATAGTACATTGAACACTAAAAAATAATCACAAAATTATGGAATGTAAAAAAATACACAATTGGAAGTTCTCTATTTAAAATAAAGAGAGTATACACACTACATCATCCAAGATTCTGTTAAACATTCATATGCTTTGGCCAATGTAATTATAAATATATTTGATATAAACACATCACATTGTGTATCACATTTAAACTTAATTATCACACAACAATCAGTTTCCAATACTGAAATCCCAGAGAATTATTCATTACACAAAGTATTTCTTTCTCTGTTAACATTTTGGCATTTATTATGGCTGACAATTCATTTATTACTTCTGAAGCATAAACAATAAAAATATATAATAATAAATGGCAAGATCGTTATGCAAGCTTTAATTTGCCTCACTTGTTAATGATGAACTTATGTGAATTTGATAAAATAATTTATTTCAATTAGTACCTATTAAATATGCTTCAGAAGACTGGAATCCCTTTAACAAGTTGAACAAAGCATATCTTCTTTACAAACATTTCCTTCATGGGCAGATGGCCCAAAAAGATTACTTGTTCTCCTTTACCTTTAACCATTAAATAATAATCAGAACATAATAGTTTTCAATTTCATAAAACCTTTTTAAAGAAAATGCACTTAAGAGTTTCAGAAATTTAAAACACCTACAATCTCTTATGGTTCTTAATTTATAATAAAATGTACACTAACATTGCATATTCAGTTACCTCTTTGGTCCACGCAGTGAATATTGTGGAATCAATACATTCAATCAGTTTAGTGAGGAGCAAACATAGAAGTTTATCCCCCTTAAGTTTTGCAGAGAATACATTAAAAGAATTGTTCAGTAGTTCTATATCACACGTATACAAATTATTTCCATTCAAAATATAGATAATATCTCTTAATTACACTCACAGAGTTAGTGATTGTATTAAAAAGACAATCATCACTTGAATTACTCCTATTATTTCAATCACTTATTTTTGAAAACTGTATGCCCATTGAGATTAGTGAGACATCCTCACTAAGATTTCATTTGATAAAAACTAACACAATTATTTTTTTGAGAGGCTAGATTACATTTTATCAAATGATAAGAAACAATAATAAATGCACATGAGGTAGAAAAAAAATAAAACATTATTTTTAAAATGTTAACTGCAAATTTTAACTCTCCAACAGAAATTAGTAGTACACATTTTTCCATTTGATTTAATAACAATTAGATCATTCTTACTTGAAAAGCCCATAAATGACATTCACAGATATGATTCAAAATAATAATAATTTACTTTGAAGATTTAATCACATCTTTATGTGAGGGTAGCTATGTTCAATATCACAATGAAATCTACATCAGACATGAAACAGCATGACAATAAAAAAAATTACAAATATATTTACAATCCAAGTTATATTTTAATAATTGAAGTACGTATGTATAATTATTATAAACATTGAACAAAACATGTTTTAGAAGTTTTCACTTGATTATTTTGATATATAAAAAAGAATTAACATGGAAAATATAGTAATTATGAATTACTTAATCTAAAACTTCCTCTATGGTAAAGTATATTATGCTAACATTATTTCAATTTGATCAAATTTTCAATTCCCAATCAAATTGTAAAACATAATTCAATTTTTGAAGTTCCACAAAACAAGAACAAAATAAAATCATTGAATATTTAATATCTAAACAATTTCTGGTAAAATCATGACAGACACACTTAAGCAAATGTCAATAAGCGATCAATAAATAATCAGCATCACTTATTCCAAAGTTTAACTACTGATTAAGATTTAACTGAAAAATGTGAAGGAAAGCTAATTAGTGAAAAGAATTTATTTCAATAAGGAAATTTTAACTGGATTTCTGTTCATCTTATCCTTTTAAGTAAAGAACGAAAATATAATGATAATGTACTGAATTGAAATGTAAACACAATAAGGATGAAATTAACCTTTAGAAAGTAAATAATTAATCCAATATTCAAAAAGTCAAGTACAGTCATGATATTATAGTTTCTACCAAACAACGAAATACTAAATTGAAAATACTTCAATTTGAATTTAAAAAAAGGAGCATAATTTGATAAATTTGCAGATTATGACCATACACAATTTATTGATCATTTGAAATAAAAATCACTTTCTCTTAGGCAGTTTCACTGAATATTTTACTTTTACTGAGTTCAGCTTAATAGAAATAGTATGAGCTCTTTAGTATTTGACAAGATGACTGAAAGTTATGTGTACGATGTACTGACCTTCCCTCCATCTTGGTGATATTGGTCTTAATCAATTGATAAACAGTGCTCTGTTTGTGTGGAAGGCAGCTTCGCAATTTGGAGACATGTTTCACAACTTCAATGATGGTGGCTCCAAAATGGAAGTGAAAATTTAAGATAACCTTAGGTGAAGAGTGTTTTAGTTGAAATCCATTTATTATCCTTAGGGTAAGACATAATAACTTGTATTATCATTTTCCGACAGCAGAAGTGCCTGTCTGTATGTCCAAAATCTGTATCTCCATATATCTCTTATAAGAGAGTTCTATTCTAACTTATCTATTAGTTTTTCTTGCAACATCACAGAACAGGAGTTTGTAGGTACACCTACTCTGTGATCCAATCATTACTTTATCCAATGATCATAAATGTATCATATTTTGGGATTTCTCACCAAGAACCTCTAGTAAACTTTACAAGTCTACCTATATCATGAATTCATTTTCTTCTTACTTTAATATTAAAACATAAGGCATACCAAGAAATATTGTTTTCAATACCCAAATATTGCATCGGCAATAAATTAACACATAAAAATTCACAATAATTAAAAAAATATAGAAATTTAACATATCTAGTTATGATTAAATTATTTTACAAGCTGATAGGCCATGTTCTACTTCAAGTACTTCCAGACGTTTCGTCTGCTACTGTGGGGGCAAACATTTTCAGCAGCAATAAGGCAATGATGAATGACCCGTACTTGCCCATCAGTAGTCAGCCAGCAGCACACAAGGAAGGGTCTCCGACCATTACACCCTATTGCTGCTGCTGATGTCTGCCGCAGTAGCAGTCAAAAAGTCTTGAAGTTGCGCTTCAAGTGGACCATCGTCTATCAGCCTGAAAAACAATCTTATCATTGACACTGGCTGTGAAAGCTTATAATGATTTATGTATCAACTTAGGTTGAAAATAAGAAATATTCAATACCAATGAATTGCTACTCAATCAAGAATATTGTCTATTTAGAAATTAAGCAAATAGACTACTAGTTTCATCATTACAGACTGCTGATTGAGACACGCACACATTGTGCATAGAACAAAAAAATTGCACAGTTTACTTTCTTGTAGGTATGGATTCTCTTCATACATTATTGTACAAAACTCATTTACAAACTTGCCTAATAGTAAACTGACATTAATTTTTATAATTTAACATACTAATACCCTTCACAATTTTTAAAGTAAACAATTTCCATTATTTAACATCATTTTAAACACTTTAATAATTGATTTTTAAGTTTTTGAGGGCTAACTTTCCTGATTTCACTGAGTGCACTAATTTCAAGTAATTGAAATTTTTGCAGTCTCATAATTCTCAGATAGATAGCTCAATCTCAGAATAAATGTCTAATCCAAATAAATACATGATGAAAAATGAAAATAATATGGAGATAATTGTTTATTAAAAATATCCCAAATGGTCTTGTAATTGCAAATATTATCTACAAAATAATTAAAAAGGAACAATGTTAAAATGAAACTCAGCCAAGAATTTAACTGGTTACTAAATAAGCCCCTCTGCAAAATGTATCATGTCATCTTCAGAGAAATCAACATAAAATAACGTAACACTAGTCTTACTTTATTTCCAGGTACATTCACTAATGTTATTGTATTGACTTGACTTCAAATTGTTATTTCTTACCATTTCTTACACCAGGCAATTTCTTACCAAATGACAACTTCTACATCTGAGTTAAAACATATATTTAAAATGTAGGAACAGTAAAATGCCTCTATAAAACAAATGAGAAAGCATTGTTGCATATAAAATTATAGGTATTAGGGTGTGTTTTCAGATGCTGCATCCTAGACAGATGTACCAACATTATTGTTAAATGTTTTGCTAAATGAACAAGAGGAATATCAGTAATCTTTCGGAGTTCCTTCAGTCAAAACTTAAAATGTTGACACTTCAGCCAATGATGAGTATTCTTCCAGTAATCTAAAGTACTACTACTCCAACAACACAAATTAATTGTAGTAATACAACATGTCCACTGGAAAAGTATTTTCCTTGACTCTTCAAAGATTTAATACATGACCATTAATACACACACTTGCTGAGGAAGCAAACGATAATGCAAAGAATCCAATTTATATTACCTTTTTTATGTAAATTAAAAAACAACATTTTGGAAAATTGGCAAACACTCTTGCAACACTATTTACTCAGGTCAATTTAAATAAGCTCAATCATGTTACCAGTAAATGTATTTAAATTGTGTGCCACACATTAGAGGAAACTTAAAGACTCAACACTAACAGATGTTCTCCAATGGTATATTTTTTGAATATTAATAAAAATTTTCTTTGTATACAATATTAATTAACCCATAAAATGCGTTAACAATAAACATTAAACAATAATTTTAACTTTTTTAACACTTCTTAAATAATTTGTATGACAAAAAAATAATAATATACTTTTTATAAACACAATATACAAAAACATAGACAAACACATATATAAACACAATATACAAAATTTGTGTGTGTAACTTTCTTTAAAATCTTTCAAATCTATGGCATCCCTTCTTGCCACTATCACAAGAACTGAAATGCAAATTTGGACCATGATGTTTATAAAGTAATCAAAATCACAAATCAATGCACATGCAAACCATTTTCTTGTTAGATAAATGTTTTAATAACTAACCTATTTTATTTGTAATCTGAATCTCTTCTACATTTTATATCCCTTGTTTGCTTTGCCTGGCAACATTCAAATCTTTAGTCTTTGAGTAAATAGAGTCTGATTAACATTACAACTTTCAACTAAGATAAAAATGATTGCACCGTCACGCAAGAGCAATGCATAGATTCCAAATCAACAAATTTGATAAACATAGTCCATGTCTCTCTGTTTATGACATGGGGATCCTGCATTCTGCATATATAATTGTTTTTCATAAAAATATCTGTTAACTATTCATTTTTTTTAAAAATCCTAGTCAACAACATATTGAATTAAGAATTTTTTAAAATTCTACAACATTTCCATAAAATTCTGTGACATTAAATCTTAAAAAGGTCTCGGGAAGATGTAATGACAACTAAAATAAAATTTTAAAACTTCATAATTATGCAACAATAGAGTACTGATCAATTAAAATTTCATATATCAATTCACAGAAAATGTACTCTAGCTTTTCTTCAACAAATGAACAATTTCCCCAAGAAATTGCGCATTCCTGTAAGCAATGACACCATCTTTATTGCACCACTGATTTATACCTTCAGATTTGTCATCATCGGTTTCAAGGTATGATATTTCTTGTATTGAACCTTGTTCAGCAGGCACAAACTGAATGATACCTCCATTTTGTGCTAGCAACAGAGCATGGGGGCCACAAATGTCCCAGCGGTACGTAGTTCCTCGAGAGAGCAGGTAAGCATCCGCTTGTCCCAATGCTACAACAAGGCATTTATATCCTGCTCCGGCAGCCTCCACCACCAAATAACCTCTCTCAGTCAGACGTTCCTTCAAATCAGAACTTTCACTAGAACTGAGGACCACTACCTAAAAAAAAAAAAAAAATTGAGAAACATGACTTTCAAAAATTGTAAAATATTATTTTCAACAGTGTCAACATTAAATTAACATTTCCATACTATATAAGCCGAGTAAGCACATAATTGTTGTTTTCTTTTGTACAATTACTTGGAATTGATTATTGAATGAAATGAATTTCACTCCTACTACATGAAAACAAACTAAAGAAACTATAACAGTACACACTTTCTCATATTCTTTGTTATGGTTTTGTGTGTGCTAGTTAAATCCGCAAAAGGTTTTCGGTAAGCAAAAATATTTTCCTGTGCTGGGATCTAATCCCAAGCACTTAAGTTTTCACAAGAAAGAACTTAAGCACACTAAGCCATCTCAGTGATGGTAGTCGAACAACACTGTTAATACTTCAAAAAGAGATGTGAATATTTGCCACCATCAAAATTTCACAGCTTTTAATGAAAATTGAGTCTTTGCCATATTATTTAGTAAACTATGCTCTATTCAAGTAAAATAATTAAAGAAAAAGTTGAAACCTTTTTTATCAGAAATTTTGGTTATATATATTTTTATAATTGTCACTACTACACTGAAAATATGCTAAAATTCTTATTTTCAAAAACGTGAAGAAGACACAACTTTAAGATCTAATTTGAAGAACAGATTTAATTAAGAAAAAAATTGCCATTATCAATACCAAAGTTATAGGAAGATGTTGAACAAATTTTAAACTTTTGGAATTTTTGAAAATGCTGAGCTTTTTATGAAAATCAAACCTGCACTACTTTTATATGCATACTCTGCTCTATTTGAGCAAAAAATTTGGAGACATTTGTGAAACAATATTCTAAAATCACAGGGTATGAATGTATGTAGTACCCCGAAAATTAAAACCTCTCTTTGAAACTCTCGAGGGTGCAAAAAACAGGTCTGGGAATATCGATTCGGGTGAAAATCCTGTGTATTGTTTAGACTATTATTGTTTAGATACAATATACAGATAAAGGAGGACAAATTATTTTTTTGGTTTCAAGGATTTATAAAATGTGTTTTTCTGTTGCCACTTGCCACTTGTTCCTCCACTTTCTCTTTCTGAGAAGTTAATACATAGGAAAGAAAAAAAAAAGATTTATTTGAGCAATGATATTAAAACATTACAGTATTCAACATCTTTCACTCTTCTCTGCACCAGCATGTCATGTTTCTTTTATGCCTCTAAACTGTTGTTGATTTTTATGAGATGTTCAGGATAACTAATTTCCAATTTTATTTTCCAGGTTGGTAGTGATTTTCACTACCAAAAACTTTCTTCAAGTCAATATGGATTTCCTTTTTCAAAATTTCCATAGTTTTTCTTGTAAATTAACTTCTCTTTCATATTAAATATAACATAGTTACTTACAAAGTATTTTCAAAAATAATCATTCATAAGACCAATACCCCTGTAATTCCCTCTTCATTCTCTGACCTTTTTAAAAAAACTCTATATAACCTCTGACATTTTCCACCTACTAGATGTTTTATTCCTTTTTCAACATTTGTTATACAGATGATATAGAAGTTAAAAATTCCATGTAAATGCTAGAGGTATACATAGCCAGTGCTTGATTTATAAAATTTTAGGTCACAAATTATTAATTTAATAGACATAGTTATATAATATAATATAATTTAATATCAATAATAAATTTCTAAAAGGTACTATATCTATTAATAACAATTAGTAATAGTAGAATACTGGCTATATGTGAATATTATAATGTTAACAATAACAACAGGAAATAAAGAGTAGGGTTTAAAATGATATTTTATCAGTTTTTAACTAATAATTTTATTACCTTTATAACAATGATACAGTTAAGTGAAAAATTAATTTTGAGGTTAAAAAAGGGGAACTAGTAATTGAAGTATTTGTCCTCTTCTTTTTGTTTTTTCTATTTTGTACAAGAGGTAGCTCCTGAATGCAGAAGTCAAGCCCAGCACATACCTTTCTGTTTCATACTGTTCAAAGTTAACTTCAATTCTTCCAAAGAACTTGGGTTCATACTCTCATAGTAAAGTTGTGCTTTATCTTTGGTTTTGGATATCGAAGGTTCTTCATCTTAGTTGGATGTTGCCTGCTGTGTATGTACAGTATTCTAAATTACATATAAATCTGATGAATTGTCTTGTGCAGATCTAAATGCGTTTGGTATTAATCCTTTTTAAAAAAATATTATTCTACTGAACTTTCTTGTGGTTTATTCAGCTATTACATATTCTAAATCCCTTTTTTCTACTGCATCTTTATTATTTGTAGTGCTCCTTCTAAGTATCCCTCTCCCATTCTAAGTATTCCTTTATATTCTGCTTTTGTCCATAAAATAAAAATCTATGTGGACAATATTGTTATATCTTTTTATCCTTTCTGATTTCAATAAAAACCCATTGAAAGGTTGCTGGCGTTTGTCTTTCTCTACTATCAATATTTTCCATTTTGCAAATCATTACATTCACAACTAGTGACTTGGATAGCAGCATTTCCTCGGTGGACTTGAACATTCTCTACTATATTACACATTTTATTATTTGTGATCTATCCAAGTTCTTCAGAATCCCAAGTGAATGTGTATTATTTTTTCAGGGAAAGGAATGTATAATTTTCAAGTGATTGATGGTCACAAATTGCAAAAGTTCTCAATTTCTATTGCAGTGTTGTTTTCCAAATAGTCCAACAACTCTCAGGATAAAAATTCTCTAAATTATTGCATTTAGGGCATCACAGATGAGGACATGATAACTCATTAATGTAGCATAATTATTCGTGAAGTTCATGATAATATATCTTTATGGGATTTTTATTTCTTTTCCCAGCTTGATAGCAAGTATCCAGCAAGTACAATCTTTTTAAATTTACACCTAACAATTCTGTCATTTATGAGGGAATTTTATTTTCTCATATGTAAAAGAATATATAATGATAAATGGAGGACTTAAACAAGGATACATTTGTCTCCAGATATAATTTATATTAATTTAGATGGCATTAACCAAAAACTGTAATGTTAAGTTAGTTCTGGAATACAGCTGAAGATCAATAAATATCTAAATGCTACTCTTTCTATAAATTGTATGACAATACTACACAAAAGGAAGAATTTCAAATGTTGTTTATAAAATACATCTACTTGAAGGGAATGACCATAATCTCCAAATATCTAAAAAGAAGACAAAAGGTGTGCTCCGATGTAGTAAATAACCCATTCACTCAAAAGTAGTAATTAATGATACAGTGAGGTCTAATTTTAATTACCTTGGTTGTGAAATCAGTTTAAAATACAGTTTAGGACACAAAAAAAACTAATAGATATCAATCTCTTAGTGGAATAATAGACAGAAAACTTCAAAATTAAATAAGAAAGGACAGAAAAATGAAATTTTATAAAACTATAGCTGCTCCAATTATTCTGTATGAAAGTGAATAAGGGATAACAAAAAAGAGTGACAAAAGTAAAATTCAAACAGTGTAAATTAAATTTCACAAGTAAGTTAAAGGTTGCACAAAACAAGATCACATAAAAAACAGAGATAAGAAAAGAATTGGAAATGGAATACAGAGAATAATTGAGGCACCATATTCAAAGAACAGGTGATGAAAGAGGTCGAGATGAAATGAAAATTTCAACAAAGAATACAAAAACAATGGCCCTCCAAGGAAAGGAACTAAGAAGAGCGAAGATAGTAATTGAAGAAGAAATAACAGAACAAGTTACAATATTCAAATATTTAGGCAATGACATTGGACAAAACTACCATGACGTGCAACCCAAATTTTTGAAATAAAATACAATAAATGGAATAATTACAAGACATTTTGGGAAGGACATGATAGGAACAAAATTAAGAAAATACAATATGACAGCCAAGCCAATGCTATTATATGGCACAGAAACATGGATCCTCAAACGAAGAGACAACCAAAGGCTAGAAGCAGCTGAAATGAGGTTCCTAAGACCCTTCCTTGGCTACTATAGACTCAATTGACAGAGAAATAGACATAAGGAAAATATTGAAGAGAACAAGCATAACAGAGGAAGTTAAAAAGAACCAGAAAAAATGGTTGGAACATATTAAAAGAATGAGAGAAGAAAGATTTCCAAAGGCAACCCTAAAATATAAATCACTTGGACAGAGAGATATAGAAAGATCAAGAAAGAAGTGGATCATGCAGGACACATGGAAGAACGAAATATTTCAGGCCTACTGCTTAACCAAGAACAGGACCCCTGGCTTCTCATTCTGCAGTTCATAACGATGAGAGTGGGTGGCAAAAGACTTCCATGATTACTGATTCAGTATTGACCAAAGGGGAAAGAGATATCAGAAGATAGAGGAAGATATGGTGTTGAAGTGCTAAGCAAAGACAGAACAAGGCTTGCCTAATCTTTGAAAGGCCCAAGAAAACTAATTGTAATAAGGACTAATTGTACTATTGTAATGATTTTAGAATAGTACAAAATACTCTAAGTCAAAAGAAATAATGACTTATAATAGAGCAAGCAAACATAAACCATACTTTGATTTGAATAACTTTCTGGACTGGACGGTTGTGGACTAGAAAAGGGCCGGCAACATGCAGGCCATCATGATATATACTGAGGCCTGTGAAAGGTTATTAGTCAAAAGTGAAAGTCCCATGCAACCATGTTGCAGGAGAACATTGTGCACCTAGCGCATGCGACCTGCCAGGGTTCACACCCCCACTAATGTAAAAATAGGTAAAGGTTAGATGTAAGGATTTTTTTCTAGTTAATTAAAAAATTCACAATTATCCCAATGCTTTTCACTGTGTTATGCATCGTACAGCCTGATACCACGCCTGGTTTTTCCCCCCTGCCATTTCAGAGAAGTCTGGCAAAATGCCAAGATCAACATTACAGGAAGTCAGGTGTGTATCACCTGAATAATGAAAATATGGCTCTCAACCATTTTAAAGGTTTCAGTTGCAGCCCTACAGGCCTTGCAAGTTTAACACTTCTGGTCTACAGGAAATCCTAATTCCAAACATTTCATCTGCTTCTGCGGTAGATATCTTCAGTAGCGAAGCGGATGTAGTCAAGGTGTTCTTTCAGACAGTTCAGTAGTGACTGACAAACCTTAAACCAACCACCTGTCTGGAAGGACACTTCATCTACGACCACTTCGCCACTGAGAATGTCTGCCACAGAGGCAGCTAAAACAATTGGATTTCTTTTAAACCACAACCCTCCAGCCCCAAAGGGATTTCGAATTGTGAATCCAGCCATGAAAGTCTACATTGTCATGCTTTGATTTATAAATCCAAATCATTAATCATACCTATTCTACCTACCTATCATAAATTGCTCAGTAGATAGCCAGTACTAAATATATTGATGTTTTGAGTTCCAACCAGATCAGCCAAACATTTTTAGACATTTCTTTCACAAAATTATACCACTTAATAAAGATACTACTAACAATCTAATAACAAGAATGTGCAATTTAGTTGATTTTTTTATGTAGATCTTAGCATAAACAACCACTTCAATCGTTTCAAATCCTCCATCTTCAAATTTTCATGATGTTTAGTATCTATTATTTACTTTCATATCATTGACTTGCGGAGCCTTGGGAGATTACCCACGCCTTGCACCACTGCTCAGTAAGAACTGAATTGTTAATAGAAATGTATTGTCTCTTTCCTACGATAAATTACCAGTTTCATTTTAAAATTTGGAAATGTATATTTTTAAATAATACTTTCGTTATTTACTGTCAGAAAGAGCAATAGAATTCTAGTTTCTTTTAGAAAATAATTAATATTTTTACTAGTCTAATTTATTATTGCTAAATGAAAATTCTTTGTGGAAGCACTCAAAATGAATGAAATTTCAATAACAAATAATGAAATAGAAGACATAGAAATACTGTTTATTCAATATTAATCAAATTTAATTGAGCTAGATTGACTATTTGAGACTGTACTTTACAGAATGTGAAGGAAATGTTTTCAAATTGCATAAGTGAAGAGACAATTTCAGGCACTGCAACTGCCAATAATTGCACTCCAGTAGGTGCCTGAGAGAGTCTGAGTGAACAAAGGGAAAATAATACTTGGAGAACTTGGGATGGACAATCGGATAGATATGGGTGCACAAAGTAACAAAATAAAATCAAGCAATGACGGTTCCCTCATGGTTGGGGGTTAAAGAGCAAATATTCCAAAAACTTCATTATTTGGAAAACGAGATGGAATGACCTGGCATTGAAAGTAATAATTAAATTGACATAAATTGATTATAAAAGATTTTAGTGCAATCATGTCTCCATACCATCCAGGATCATAAGATTTATGATGATCAAAGCTCTTATTTTCCTATTACTGGAAATAGAAAACGACTAAGAAAAATATTTACTTTATACTTTTTTAAACAAACAAACCAGTTCATCAAGATAATTACATTAAGACTACATTAATATCATAAATAAATTACATCTATTTCATTTTTCTTAGGGGGAAAAAATTTACGAACATTTCATAAAATCTGCATGAACATACACGTCTTTGGATCAGGACACTTCAGTCTACAGTGCCCTACCCTCCTCAACTTCTTACAACTTCATACTTTGCAGGTTCAATGATTCATAATTATATGTTGACATTACAAAGAATGATTTTAGTGAATAATAAACAATGACCAACCAACCTTTTGTTGTTCCACAGTATCTTCAAATTCATCCGAAAAATAATGCTTGTCTTCATAGTTTATGCCCCAGTAACATTTTCCAAACCATCTAAGACAGACAACAAAAGTTTAAAATATTATACATAATTTGGGACAAATATTTCAATGATGTTATATGCAGTGCTTTTAATGAATATTTTTATATAAGGAATAAAAATTAATATTGATATTTATAAATCTTTCTTCCTGAACTAATTCATTAAAATACTAGTTAAAAACTCACTCTGAGCCCTTTTTAGTAATAAAAGGCTGATTAACCACACCAATAACAGGTTCACCTGTGTGTCGATTAAATACTCCTATTAATACAGTCACACACTGCAGACCTTTGCTATGAATGTTCCTCAAAACTGGTGGTTCTTCACTTCCACTTATATATTCAAATGTAGAATCTGTAGCCAGAAATAAAGATAAAGCATTCTGTATCTTTCTTTAAACAGTAAATAATTAATGTAAGCCAGGGGTTCCCAACGTGTTGGTACAGGCTCACTGGGGGTCGATGAAATTTTGAAGGATGTCAATAATAATCAAGTGATCAATTGAAGGTTAATAACCGAATATAAACCGGCAGTAATGAAAATCCTATTGGTTACCAAAAATGAACTCAACTTTCTTCTGATATAACGCAACAGAATGTAAGCTAATAAAGTACAAATTTGCTCCTCTTTTGTCAATCCTTAGGATGTTTAGAAAATTCAAGAACTTAAAACTCTGCATTAATTATCGTGCTCTATCATGCAACAAAGTACCCTCTGCAATATGTACTAGAGAAATGTAATGTCAGTCCTTAAAAACACACAATATTTTGAAACCATTGCATTTCAATCAAAATCGACTCAGCTACTCCAAAGCAGAATCATCTTTGATTATTGATAAATTGAGATATCAATATATATACAAGAATATTGGTATTTTTAAGGTATTTCCATGCAATTCTTTGTGTCATAAGTATTGATGCTGTACATTATAGAAAAACAAAAGGGAGAAACAAGGGGATGAATCAAATAATGAGTTTAAAGGGGGTCATTTAAAGAAAAAAGGTTGGGAATTCCTTATGTAAGCTAATGTAAGCCATACAACCTATTGGATCTATCCATATACCAAAGTTATCCACTGGCAATGTGAGATCATCAGGTATACGATCTACATTCAAAGACTGGTAATCTACCAATACTGCTTTATGAACTTCTGCAGCTAATAAGCCACCTGCTGTAGTATCACCATTCAAAACCTATAACAAAACCATGTTCTTAATGAAAATGATATCTTCCAATTCATAAGGTAAAAATCACTTCAAGATAAATTGAGTGGAACAAATACCTATTTTAAAGAACTTGTAATGTTATTTTTATTAGCCCACTCATATTTTAATAAATAAGAAATACAACCTGAGTCAATAGTGCAGCAGTATCAGCTTCATTTTCTTGAATAGCCACAGTAATGCTCTCTCCCAAAACATTACTGAAAGAATTGTTTTCCTCGCCTTTGATATGAGAAGCTATATTTGGAAACTGTAAATAATACTTATACTGTACAATGATTTAATTGAGAAATGTACATAATTGTAAGAAGGGTAGAACACAGTGGTGGTTACCTACTAAACAAAAGCTACTTAAGTTGTACCTCGATCCCAATATCGTGCTTGATAGTTTCTTGAATTAACACATCCGCCAGGGTCTTGAAATCTTGAAAAAACCTTGGGTTTTTATCGCCTTCATGCTTTTCTTGAACTAGCAATTGAAACAAGTGTTTCTCTTCGCGACACACTCTTGCAATATTGGCTGCTTTCACAGACACTTTAATTAACGACTTCAAGAACTGAGCCATGGTCATAATTTCTTCCCCAAGAATTATTGGTTGACACGTGACCTTAAATAAGAAAATTTAATTTTCAAATAACTTGTCATAAATCTCTGCTCTGCCGAGATAGCAGAAGGGAACTACAGATGACAGAACTGCAGAACAGCCAACATACGAAACGAAATACATATTACAACGTACCTCTACATTTATGTCGTAACAATATCTTATCTAATTTTCTTTGTACGCTACAGCTCAAAATGCAATAAGGAAATGTCAATGAAAATTCTTTTCACCCGATAATAATTTATGTCGAGGTTTATTTGAGAATACTGCAGGTGTTGGAATCATTGACAGCACGGGAAGTGCTGCACTCCGTGGCATTCTGTTTAAATCAATTCATGGTTATTTCCCTTTCTGGCGGATTTCAAATTAAACAATTGGCTTGGTGATCAAGAATGCGCAATTAATACTAATCACATTACCATTTCATTAGTACAACCTATTCTGATAACTTATAGAGGAATAACATTTTGATGCGAGGCACATTCGCAGAAACGAGTAAGTTATTTTTACTTGTCAAGTGTCTATTATAGTGATAAATTATAGAAAAATAACCTTTCTCGTCCTTGAACACAAGCATAATGTTCTCTTCGCCATGATTTCTTAGACTAAAGTCTTAACTTCGTCCAAATTTGCAACATTTGCCCTTTAATCTCTGATCTTATAATAGTAGTACCAACATACTGGAAGTTTTGTTGCAAGATAAACACACACAGTCAGTATCCTGAAAGTTTTGATGTAATGTGCAATTAGTCAAAGTAATCCGAATGTACTCGAATTTTCAATTATTTTCTAATTTGCAAGGTTGATGAACCGGTACCTTGTTTATGATACACGCACGTTTTCATGTACCCTGTATCCTTGGTACCTCTCGTAGTTAAATTACGAATAAAAGATAGAAACGTGCGTTGTCCACATTTGATAAGATGAGAGCCGTCGGGTTCTAGTTTGCCGCGCTGGTGATAGTACATTTTGCCACTCTAAAACGGAATGCTAAAATTACATAATACTTTTAATAGTAGAACAAGTTTAATTGTTTATAATAAAGTAGTATTTATTGAAGTATAATTATAGATATATTTATTAAATTATAAATAATATCTAAGTACAATATAAAAATATGATAATATACAATTAGCATAAGTATAAAAAATACATCAGTACAAAATTTTGCAAAGGCACTTGTCGAACTTTAAAAAATACAATATTTTTTATGAAACTCACTAAATCAGGGGTTTCCAACGGAGTCGATACAGACCCCCGAGAGGTATGAAATATTGAAAGGGGTTAACAATGATCAAGGGATCGACTGGAGGTCAATAACCAAATATGAGCCGGTTCCTGATCAGTACATTCAAGATCGCGTTGATTACAAAATAAATAATTGTTTTCTAATATAATGCAAAACAAAGAAACTCATTATAAATTACAAATTCGCTATTCTTCTTTCGAATACGTTATCTATATTTTGGAGTTATAATGGGTAGAAAACGCAAGAAATTATAACTATGCATTCAGAACGATCCTCTAACGCGCAAGAAAGTACTCTTGCCAATACGTACTGGAGAAATATTATGGCCAGTTCTTAAAAAACGCTCAACACTTTATAACCATTGCATTAAAGTGAAGTTCAGGTACTCTTCTACTCGAAAGCGGAAGCCACTTCGATTATTGAAAATCGAGGTATTTACGAGAATATGGGTGTTCGAAATTGTTATTTTTGTCGCATTTATATGCAAATTCTTTGAAGGATTATGGATGCTGTATAGAGAAAACTGAAGAGGGGCGATGAAGCAAACTTCTCTTGAAAGAGGTCGATTGAAGAAAAATGTCAGGCACCCTTGTCTGTCTGTCAGTCTGTGAACAACACGTGCAATTGTATTCAAAATGGATATTCCCCAGTCGATCTAGTTCCATTCGAGGAGCCGTGATTTTAAAAATTTTTCTTTAAAATTTGGGGGATTTTACATAAAGCCGCCCGGACATTTTCAATTTTTTCTTAGGAACGGCTTCAAATTTTTTATTTAAATTTCTTGTAAGAATAGAGTTAACTACAGTTAACAAAAGGTGAATATTCGAAAATTTCAAAAGTATGAATTTTTTCCGGTGTCTGCCTAAAACTACAAAATTAAAGAAAGAGATTTTTCCTTCCAATAAAAGTTGTTCTCCACAATTAGTTCTTTTATTAAAGTCATGTGCATTTATGTGAAAAAAGTTTAGTAGTTTTCACGAAATATTGCGTGCAATATTGTAATTTTAAAAAATAACAAAAACCAAATTTTCTCAAAAACGGCTCTAATTTTTTTCTTTAAACTTTTAGTAGGGATAGTACTAAATGTACTCTGTAAGATGACGTAAAAGCCATATTCTATTCTTTTGTTTTTTCTAAAATTACAATATTGTAATTCTTTGATCTCTCTCGCGTAGTTAATATTTACTTAGCGTCAATTTGTTCACATGAATATATTTACACGCACATGTACTTTAAATAATGTCAGATAACATTTCTCGAAATTTCTAGTTTTCTGTGATAATGAACTCAAAATTCTGCATTTTCAGAAACAATCAAACGTCAGTTTCTAACAAATGCCAACATATTTTTTCTTCAAACTTTTCCAACGTATAGTGCTGAATTCACTGTTTACGTTGACATAGAATTAATTTTGCAGTCTTCTTTTGTTTTTTTCAAAAATTACACAAATGTATTTTTTTAAAATATCTTTCACGCTTTTATTATGCACATTTCTAGTGATTTGTAAAGACTATTGCATTTGTGACTGGAAGTTCTTGAAATGACTTCATATGAAGTTTTCCGAATACTCAGTAGTTTTCTGTGAAAAAAGGCTTCAAATTACGGAATTACAGTAGCACTTAAATGCCATATTCTTAAAAAACTGCTCCAAATTTTTCAAAGAAAATTGCTATTTAGTACGAGGTTTTACTGTTCTTTAATACTTTTAAAATAATATTTTCGTTCTGCTATTAGGAAACCTAAAAATTAAGAAAAGTTCAAAAAATGTACTTCGGGCGGCAGAAGGCAGCAGGCAAGAGTATGTGACAAGTTCGTATAGCTAGCCGAGTCCAAAAGAAATAGAAAAATGAGGTAAAGTCTGTGCCATTCTGTAGCACCACTAGTTAATTTAGGAAATGATCTTTCTCCTGTGGCTACCGTAACTGGCAGTGTTAATAAAATGTGTAATATCACGACAATATTAGGAAACGACCCGGCTAGTTAATTTTGATATATAAATTCAAATTATTCAATTGGAGAAGATTTTAATGTGAGAAATTTCGTAATTATGTTTAGTTCATTTGCAAGTTCTATTACTTTCATATCTTTTGGATATTAATTTTTTAAATTCTAGATCCATACTAATTTATTTTATCGCACTTGCTAACGTAAGAAGATAAAGTACTGTAATCGTGCGGCGGAAAACAACTAATTTTCGACACAAAACTCGTATTGTAAGGCCTTGGAAAGTTGTGGATAAATTCTGTTGCTAAATATTGAAAAAAATCTTCTAACAAATGGTGTAGTGTGGGTCCTTGACCATGTTTTGTGGGTCTTTGATGCCGTAAAATCGATTGACGGCAAAAGGTCCGCACCTCCGTCGGTCAGTCCGCCTGCCCGTCCGTCCGTCCATCCAGTCCGTCCATCCGTCGTCCCGTCGTCCGTCCGTCCGACGTCCGCTTACGTCCTGCCCGTCCGTCCCTGGGGGCCGTCCGTCCGTCCGTCCGTCCGTACCGTCCGTCCGTTCCGTTTTCTGCACGATGCTAGCGCATAGTACTCCGCACTGACCGCTGTGGTGTGCGGATCGTGCCGCAGCCTCGTAGTCCTTACCTTGCTCGCCCGCGAGGGCGCAAGATAAGGAAAAGTCCTAGAGCGATTAATAACCAAGTGCGCCCTAGCTCTAAGTGAACAGTTATATTTGTAAAGTATAACAGTGTTTTCATTCTCTTCATATTAAAATCAACTAACAAAAGACAACCTAATATAAAAACTGCGTCGATTGACCGAAGTACTTTCGGGTAGGATTCAGTAGCATGTAGTGGCGATTGCATGCTACTGACACCCGGAAGCTGTTTTAACTTCAAGAAATGTCATCGCGAAAGAATCACAGGCAGCGAAGCAAGCGGCATGGATCATGATTCATCGCTCCGTCAACCCTTACGCAGGAATGTATGTGTCTATATATATACAACCGAGCAGTCGGTCAAAAGGCCGACACCCTGACGTCCTGCGACCCTGATGCTAATAGAAGGGTAGGGCAAAGACAGCGTCTTGCGATAGTAATATAGGTGTATATATCAGTTCCCACCCAAAAGTCAATTCACGTGCTCTTGCATATAGAAGGCACAACAGAAAACAAATGAGGAAACCTTTCAAAACCAACTCGTACCTCCATTTCGTGTCAAATGTGAATAATGTTCCAGCTATGATCAAATTTTTTAAAGAAAGCTTAAAAACAGACAAGATTTCGAAATAAAATCTGCTCTAGGCAAACGACAAAAAATTAAAATAACGGCCTGAAAACTCCAAATATCCTACAGGGAAATAATAAAGCACATTTATCAGCCAACAGTCACGTATATATCTATACATAATACCAGTTTGAAACAAGAACGGTGCGTGTATAGAGTTGTCTTTGACAGACATCATACAATCATACGGTAGACGTAAAAAGATAGTAGGCTGCGCTTCTGAAAAGGATCACAACGTTAGAAACATTATAGGAATGGATCGATGCGGACGCTGTATCACAGGCTTGAAGCTAGTAAGTGCTATCCGCTCTTGCTCTTATGTTTGTAGAGAGAGACCAAAGTTACAACAAAGAAGTGTTCATCAAAATTAACGCGACTTTTAAATTGGTGTTGTTTGCTTTCAACCACTACGTCCTGAAACGCGAGATTAGTACAGGGATGCAAAAACTGTCAGAGATATGAAGCACTTACCACGGTCGTACTAGGTTGCATACCCGTACAGGTTGTTAAATGTGGAAAAGAAC